CTAGAGAGATTTTTAGCATCAAGTACAATTTTTAAGAACATGCACACAGTAAAACTTGGTAACAGTGGGGCCCATCATAATGTGCGAGAATAAATTTGGAGAAAACAAAAACAGTGTTGATCCAAGCCTTTTTTCCCTTATGATTAACTCAGAAAACTGCTTCAAAGACAGCACATTTCAATTACATGGAAAGAATAACAGGAATGAATTAAAAATAAATGTCTATCACAGAAATACTGGAGAATTTGGAAGATAAATGAGACATATTTTCCTAAATTCTTATAGATTTCCTTAAACATGTTATCAGGAATCAAATATGGTGGTTGCAATGTAAGATTTCCTTATTTTAAAGAGAGATGTACGATTACATAAGAAATATATCACTTGATCTAAGATAATAGCATTTTTATGTTATGTGGAAATAGATAATATCTACCTCAGTATTTCATCTGATCTTCGAAACAATTTGGCAAGGAATTCGGCATCTGAAAAATCGACCATCATGGGAAGTTTTTCTGTTAAAAGGACTCCATCTTGGGGCCGGCGCCATGGCTCACTTGGTTAATCCTCCGCCTGCGGCGCCGGCATCCCATGTGGGCGCTGGTTCTAGTCCTGGTTGCTCTTCTTCCAGTCCAGCTCTCTGCTGTGGCCCAGGAGGGCAGTGCCCAGGTGCTTGGGCCCCTGCATCTGCATGGGAGACCAGGAAGAAGCACCTGGCTCCTGGCTTTGGATTGGGACAGCGCGCCAGCTGTAGCAGCCATTTGGGGGGTGAACAATGGAAGTAAGACCTTTCTGTCTCTCTTTCTCACTGTCTAACTCTGCCTGTCAAATAAAAATAAATAAATAAATAAATAAATAAACAGACTCCATCTTAGAACTCTTTTCATAGTTCTGTACCAAAATGCATGTAACAAACAGGTGTTTGATGCCCATAACCTCTAAAGACACACACACACACACACACACACACACAGATTAATATTTTACCTATCATTAAGGAACTCATATGCAAAGCCAAAAAAGAATATTTGTGCATAAGTGACGTAAGGGAAATTATAGAATTTATCTAATAGATAATGTAATGATATCCAATCCAAATAGATCTAAATAGGAGGTTCAAAAAAGGTTTTGTGAAAAATGATTTTCAGTAAAGAGAAATGATATGGAAAAGAATTATATACAGATGGAGCATTGTGAACACAAAACTGAAGAGAAGCATGCTTAGGACTAATCCATTTTGCTGAAACATTGTATTAACCCAAAACATTACTGGGCGATGAAGCTGGAAATAAGAGAGGCAGCTAGAAACTGAGGGCCTTGAATGCCTGTGTCAAAAGTTTCATTTAATTTTTGCAGTGAGGACCAGAGCTACAATGAACTGATCAGGACTGCACTTGAGGCACACCAGTTTGGCAGCAATGCTTCATAATAAATTGCAGCAGATGAAGAGAAGATAGAAACAGGTGGATGGGATAGGAGGCTCTTGAAATTAATTCACAAGAGAAGCAACCAGGGTCTGAGCCCACAAATATGAAAGGAATGATTTAAAAAAAAAACAGGTAGGTCAATCTGAAAGAGGTTAATGAAAAATTAATAAATGACCCAATGGTTAGGATCGTAAGCTTGTGAAGACATTAAACATAAATTCAGATTCCAGATTTCCCTCTGGGAGTAGCACTGTAATCCTGGACAAATTATTTTACTCCTGATTCCCAAATTATAATAAAAATTACCTCATGATATTTTATGAGGAATGTAGGATATTACAATCCTAACATGACTGCACAAAGCCTAGCACATAGTACAAATTTAGTACCTAATAAAAGCTAGCTTCTAGCATTAGTTATTTTCCAAGATCTTAGTCTCATAACTGCTGATTGATGTTTAGCACCTACATCTCACTGTTAATTCACAGAGCAGTTCTGTGGTCATTTAAACATTCTAGAAATTGCATAAGCTAGTCCTTCAAATTAAATCTCTCCCATTGTGTATTTACATTATCCATTTTTTTAGGACTCTAAATCTGATTAACTTCCATTGAACTCTGTGTTTTTATACTGAGCCAAGAATTTCAGTTTTTTGAGGCAGTTTTCCAGATAATTCAATTATCAACAATTTGCTATTCTTCCCTAACATCTGCAGACTAGCTTGTGATGTCATTTTCAGGGTAAAAAAATACTGACTAAGATGAACCTAAGAACAAAGTATTTAGAATTTCACTAGAGAAATTCATTCTACATTGACACTGAGTATTCAAAAATCTGAACAAATCTGGACAAAGTTACAAACAAAAATCAAGACAGTGTATCTCCAGTAACACAAAAGAGAATAGCCCTTTTTTAATGAAGGACAGACAGCCATAGTAAACTTTTGGTTTTTAGGCAACCTAATTTGACTCCATGGACCTTTGAATTTCAGACTTGATGATTTTGGCCCAATATTAAGCATATTTTATGAAGTTAGGAACACCTCCCTCCCAACAACCACCCCCACTCCCCGCCACCAAGAGTGCTCTTAAGCAGTTCATAGAAGTTTGCTGTAAATACCGAGCTATTTCGAGGTGAATTCTGAAATCTTGGAATATTAAAAGAAAATATCTCATACTGCAGAAGGATGATGACATGCAATTAAAGATTTTGGAGTACAGTGGAAAAGAAAGTGAAATAATAGAAAAGAGCTGTATTAGCTAAGTAAAGTTGTACAAAACCTGTCAATGCAACCCCTTGCAAACAAAAAGCCTTGGATGCTGCTTGTGTCTAGTTCTTCCTCAGGAGAAAAGAATACAAAGCATTTCGACCCTCATGATTTCTATTTATTTCCTGGAGTCATAGGCTAATGAAGCAAATCTAAAATTCTAAAAAAAAAAAAAATCTATTCCTGACGCCTAGATTCTGAAATCTGCTTTAATGGCCTTTATATTATCATCACATTTCTCTATGTGCTGTGTTCACATTTAAGAACTATTTCACTGTTACACACGTGGAGAAAAAAAACACTAAATATAAAGCTAGGTAATATAAATGAAGATAATAGAAAATGTGTATTATTTTATATTTTTTCAAATCCTGAGTTTCATGAGTTGGCAAAGAATGAAGATAATTATACTTCCTCAAAAGTTATATTCTAGATTATGTAATATCATAATTCAACTTAGAAAATGATTTCATGTGCATAATTATAAGAGTATTGAACACAGACTCACTTTTGAATTAAAATGTACACAAGAAAAAACATAAATTTAACTTGAGCTGGACTACATATGAATATATAACCTCCAATTGAGATCATTCAGTCACAATAAGAATTTAATTTTTATACACTTATATTGTTAAAATTGTTCAATCTATCACCTTAAAATAAATATTTTAACAAAACCAAAATCCCCAATTCAAAAATATGAAGTTCTTACATAAGATGGTTGATTTTGTATTTTAAAATACTGAATCAGAGTGCCCTCTATTGGAAGAAAAAAGGCAATAAAAGTTACACTGAACTAAGAACAGCTAACAGTATTTTTAAAAATTTCAGAGAAAATTAAAAGAAATTTATCTTGATATAAAAAATTGGAATTCATAACAAATATTTTCCATGAGCATTTTAAAAACCCTTTAAATGCATGGTTTTCAAAATTTTTCCACCCTAAAAAACATCTTTTTCAATCCATTTATCCAGAACTTCTGAAGTACTCTTGTAAAATATTCCCAAAGTTGAAGCCACACCATTAATATATAAATACATTCATTAATATGAATTTGATAACACATATTTTCCTTATATTTTTATTGCTTTGAAATTATATTTAGAATTACCTGTCATATTACAATGAACAGCTGGATGTTCCACATCATCTGAAATTAAATTTTTACTGAACCCAAATGTTCACTATATAGCCAGTAATAGAAAACAAAAATGGTTTTCCACATTTAATATTCAATATAATACGGAAATAATTGTGATTTAGAAATATTTGTGGACTAGTTTAATTTTTCCTAGAGAAACTGAAAATATCCCTCTTTTGACAAACTAAAATTTTCCTGTTATGAACTGAATGCTTGTGTACTTCCCAAATTCATATGTTGAAATCCTGACTTCCAATGTGATGGCATCTGGGAGGAGGGGGAGTTTGTGGGAACTAACCAGTTCCTGAGGGTGGAGTCTTCCTTGTGCATAGGATTAGCGTCTATTTAAAATGTACCAGAGAGTTGCATTTTCTCCCTGTTCTGTTCCATCTGAAGTCACACTGAGAGCACAGCCATCTGTAAGCCAAGAACAGACCCTCGCCAGACACCAGCTCTGCCAGCACCTTAATCTTGGTTTCCTAATCTCCAAACTGTGAGAAACAAATGTCTGTTCTTTAAGCTATCAAACTGTAGTAATTTGTTATAGCAGTCCAAACTAACACACTCCCCAGTTTGAGAGACTTTTAGAAGTTCTTACTGGGGAATTGGAGAAGGAGGCTGGGCAACATAAGATCTAGTAGACTTATCTATTTCAAAATAGTCTATAATTCATAGTACTATCAAGATCTCAGTTCTGAGTCCTTACCTCAGGACTGAATGACCTTGGCCAAGGCCTGGTATATTTTTGGTTCCCTCAGTCAACAGTACACTATGGAATAACCTGGAAGTTTCTTAAAAGAATAATGCTCAAGGCTACCCAAAATTATTTTGACCTAGTTGATCTGGAATGTTTTCTGAGAGCAGCAGTACTTATTTTTTTAGTCTCTCCAAGTAAGTTGAATGTCAACCACTGCTGAGCATCATTGTTTGAATCTCTCCCCAGAATATCCAACACACCATTGCCACTTTTATCTCCAAAAATGTCATCTTCACGAGAACTCCCCTACCCAAGACTTTATTCTTTTCCACATCAATTCCATACTTCTGACTGCCATCCAAATCCACTGATCTGCCCTTGTTCCTTGACAATATAGTTGAGTGGTAAGGGGTATGGCCTCAGCCCCAGGCTGCCTGTGTTCAGATCCTGGCTTTGATACTTACTGTGCGAACTTGGAAAAGCCATAAAAGCTCGCTGTACTTCCATTTTCTCATCTGTAAAATGAGAGAAATAATACTACCTATCTTCATAGGGTTATTGAAAGAATTAAACCAGCTAATACAAGTGAAGCCCTCAACAATGTTAGGAATCATCATTAATTATCAAACTTGCTTTCTCACTACTTTGTTGAAACAACTCTTATGGTAAATAATTGTCTTCAAATTAAATACAAATTCTCACCTCACCTCTGTGCTTCATACATACTCTCATTAATTCACTATAATTCCAGTGCAAGGCCTGTCTCCCCATCCCATAGGATGCATTTTCAAGTCTCTTTACCTCTACAAAGCCTTCAAGGCATACATACAAATCTTCACTGATTTCTTCTTCTTTAAAATTTCATTTGGCCAAGGGTAGCTTACCATGAGAAATATAGTTGGTAATTACAAACATTGGTTCTGAGTTTGAATTGCTGTACTGCTACTTGCCAATTGAATCATTTCCTAAATCTATATTGTTGTACTGTTAGTTGTGCTTACTAGTGGCTTAAAATGCATAAATCATCAGAATAGCAAACAGCAAGCACCTAATAAATGTCAATTCTAACACACGTTTGTTATTGAATATGTCACTCTCATCTATATTGTGACTGTAGTCTCCTTGGGACAGGCATTTCGAATCCCTTGAAGTAAAGAACCATGTTTCGACCTAAATGAAAGATCTCCGCGAGTGAGATCCCAGTGGAAAGAACAGGTCATCAAAGAAGGAGGTACCTTTCTCTGAAGGGAGGACAGAACTTCCACTCTAACTATGACCTTGTCTAAATATGATCAGAGTCAGTGAACTCAAAAGGCTTCCATAGCCTTGGCAACTCATGACAAGAGCCTAGGGTGATTACTGATGCCATAAACAAGAGTGTCAATTTGTTAAGTCAACAATAGGAGTCACCGTGCACTTACTCCTCATGTAGGATCTGTGTTCTTAATGTGCTATACATTGTGATTTAATGCTATAACTAGTACTCAAACAGTATTTTTCACTTTGTGTTTCTATGTGGGTGCAAACTGTTGAAATCTTACTTAATATATGCTAAACTGATCTTCTGTATATAAAGAGAATTGAAAATGAATCTTGAAGTGAATGGAAGGGGAGAGGGAGCGGAAAAGGGGAGGGTTGCGTGTGGGAAGGAAGGTATGGGGGGAAGCCATTGTAATCCATAAGCTGTACTTTGGAAATTTATATTCATTAAATAAAAGTTAAAAAAAAGAACCATGTTTCACAGTGCTATTATAAATCTTGCAATGCAAAACATGATAAAAACCATCTGTATTAGATGATCTGCAAGTATTTCATTAAGCTTTTTTTCATAATCTGAGAGTACAACTTCTATCAATATTACAGGAAAACATTTTTGATGAATTTTCAACAAATAACAAAACAAGGAATGAACACAAATAAAACCCAGGCTATGGAGAAAGGTCATTGTAGCTGGATTAACTTTTAAACATGCAATACCAAATTTCTATCAGATTCACCTTCTGAATGGCCAGTTCCAATTGTCTTTTAGCTGCCCTAAATCCTTTAGATTTTCCTCATTTCCTAAAAATAAATACCATAATTCTTCGCCTGAAATTCAAGAATTATCTATGGCCTGACCTTATCTATCCTCCTAATCACATCTCCTATCTTTTCCATTTAAAATTCTTTTTCCCAAACCAATAGAAATGCTTGCTCTTCCTCATATACACTGTCTGTTTTTATGCCATATGAATTTTGATATTTTATGTAACAATACTTTCAAAGAATATTATTCTAAAGGTTTACCACAGGAACAAAGAATGGTATAGGAAAGAATAAGCCTAAATTTCAAGAATTAAGTTCAATATATGAGTGTTAATTTCTCTCTTGCTACCATCACAATACAGGCTTTGGTTTACAAAAAAAAAAAAAAAAAAAAAAAAAGAAAGAAAGAAAGAAAGAAAGAAAGGAAGAAAGAAAGAAAAAAAAGAATTACCATCTTTTCCCCAAACTATGTCATTCTAGAAGCCCTCATCATACCTCCTAAAAGATATGAGCTTGAACCATGATCTGGAAGCAGAGTAAATAGACCTCAGGGTGTACAAGATACTACTAGATAAAACAAAAAATTGACTTCTTATTTTACACTTATTCTTTACCTTCCTCATTTTGAACTCCTTGGGTATTATATGTCTCAAATTTTACATCATGTACTATTAGATTAATAGTAGATATGTAATTTATAAATACAGTCATATAATTTACAAATAATATATTAGGATGGTTTGCCAGAAAATTTGTTTACTAATGAACTTACAACAAAAGTTTAGAAACCATTGGTCTAGAAAGTTAGGGCTTTCAGAAAATCTATGGGTTTAGAAGTAGAAGTTTAGGCCAGCGCCGCGGCTCATTAGGCTGATCCTCCGCCTTGTGGCGCCGGCACACCAGGTTCTAGTCCCAGTCGGGGCGTCAGATTCTGTCCTAGTGGCCCCTCTTCCAAGCCAGCTCTCTGCTGTGGCCAGGGAGTGCAGTGGAGGATGGCCCAAGTGCTTGGGCACTGCACCCCATGGGAGACCAGGAGAAGTACCTGGCTCCTGCCATCGGATCAGCACGGTGCGCTGGCCACAGCGCACCGGCCGCAGCGGCCATTGGAGGGTGAACCAGCGGCAAAGGAAGACCTTTCTCTCTGTCTCTCTCTCTCACTGTCCACTCTGCCTGTCAAAAAAAAAAAAAAAAAAAGTAGAAGTTTAGGGCAAGAAGCTGTCAATTTAAAGAAATTTTTTGGAATTGATCTAAATAAAAGCCTAAATACACTGTATTATGTATGTAGGACAAATATGTTTTTGAGTTTTAACTAACATTCAAGGAAATGTTAAAGCATAACTGATATATCAATTGGAGATAGCATATAATGGTCCTAGATTTTTAAACAAGGAGCTTTGCCCTGACATTAAAATTGTAAATGTAAATATTTCATTAATATGAAAATTTAATTTGGAAAACCTACAAGTGTTTCTGTCAAGTACATACAAGTGGTCATTGAAAAGTTCACAGGAAAGGCATATTATGAGAAAACTATGTACTAGTGTCAAAAATCTTAAACAAAATTTATCTTTTAATTTCATTTTGTACAAATTTTTCAAGTCCCCTCGTATGAAATTATACATAACAACTCATAAGGAATTTTTACTGGGGCCAATAATGTGATGTTTTACAAAAGTATGCAAGAAAAAAAAAGAAACAGAAACCAAAATAAAAATGCAGGCCTATGAAATAAGACTATCCTCAGAACTAGATTAGCAAGTATTATCACAGCTTGCTTTAAGTAATTAAATGAAGTAAATGTTCTCAAATGAACAGGAACTATACTTTGCATTTTTTTCACTTTTCATAAATAATATGACAGTCTACTCTTCAGGCTTTTGAAAAGGGTTAATATTTCTCTAACTAATTATAAAAGTGAGTAAAGGTTCACATAAGGTATAAGGAGAATTCCAAAAGTTTGTGGAAAATGTACAATGTATTTAATTCCATTTTCCATGAACTTTTTTAATACCCTCATATCACCTTTAATAGCAGTACCTACTCTAAATTCTTCTTCTTTAGGACAAAAAGAGTTTTATAAATAGTATTTTAAAATAATTCTCTACAGTCTTTCTTGCTATTATCATGCTAATATAAATCCTAAGTTTGAGTAAAAATCTGTAACTCATGCTTTAGATTCTAAGCATATAAAAGAGAATTCTCTTAAGATTTGCATTTTATAAAAATTATATAGGTTGGGGCCGGCGCTGTGGCTCACTTGGTTAATCTTCCACCTGCAACGCCGGCATCCCCTATGGACACCGATTCTAGTCCCGGCTGCTCTTCTTCCAATCCAGCTCTATGCTCTGGTCTGGGAAAGCAGTAGAGTATGGCCCAAGTGGTTGGGCCCCTGCACCCACGTGGGAGACCAGGAAGATGCTCCTGGCTCCTGGCTTCAGATCAGTGCAGCTCCAGCTGTTGCAGCCATTTGGGGAGTAAACTAATGGAAGGAAGATCTTTCTCTCTGTCTCTCTCTCTCTCACTGTCTATAACTCTACCTCTCAAATAAATAAAATCTTTAAAAAAACTAATATACAGACTGAGCTTTCCACAACATCTTTCTCCTATGACTAAAGAGTGACAAAGGAACTACATGAGGGTATTACAATCCATGCATATGTGACATCTTTAAAAAGCTGATGAAAATGTGCATTTTGAAAAACTATGCAAGGATTTTTAAATCTTTTCCCCAATATAAAATTTTAATTCCATTTCCCATTAACTGAAGTACTCTACACATATAATTCAGCTCTTTCTTCATATACATGGAGTCAGACTGAGATTATACAGAAATGGGGATGATGGACAAAAGACAAGTTTCCTTCTTTCTTTTGAAACCAATATCATTATGCCAAATAAAACACACACACACACACACACACACACAAATAACCAAAGAAATTATAACCCATCTGTTACAAGAGAAGCTAACAATAGGAGAGATCATCACAAACTGTAAGAGATTTATCAAAGTATTCCTTCTCCCAATATGCAGTGTGAATAAAACCCCAATTAACTTCCAAGAAAGAATAATAGGGAGATTGATATTAGATAGCGGCAGAAGCTGATAATGCACCAAATCCCCAAGCCTCTCAGATGTACATACTGAACTGGTAAAGACAGACCCAGTGCCTTCATCTCCCCTCTTACTTACTACACTCTGGCTTCCATTTTTCCCAAGTTCTTCCTCTGAAATCTTGCTCAAATTATCTAAGTAGTGGTCTGATATTGTGTGGCACAAATCTTCAAAAGAATAATCCTTTTCTTGACAGAGTTTTATTTCATCCAAAAGTTTGGATAATTCTCCAGTCACTGTTTCACCTATAAGAAGATCACATTTTTCAGAAGTTTCAAAAACATCATTATTAAAACTTAATGTTAAATAAAAGTATAATTGCTATGGTGATGGAACTCAAAATATGATGCATAAGATTAACTAGACAGGAACTATTCTCAAAATAAGGAACTAAACTATAACTAGCACAAGAATATCAACAAAAGATCACAATTTTGCCTATATTTAATCTTTCTGAAAATAGAAATGAGTGTTGAAAGCTTATATACATGAAAACGCATCTAGAATTATAATTCTTAGAGTTTTGCTTATTGTAGGATTTTATATTCAACAATCTTTCAATGGCATTTTACATCATTGACAGAATTCAACAATTCATTAACAAATTTAAAATGCTGTTGAGAGCTTATTTCCTATGTTCAATAAATACAAATAGTAGAACTTACTTAAACAATTGTATAAGTAAAAAATTAGAATTATGATATAGGCTAAAAAAGGAAGACAAAGAAAGAAAGAATATTTATCACCTGCCAAAATATGAAAATTTTGTAGGTTGCATGCAAATTTATATACTCTTTTCTAAACAGTATGGGAAAAGTACTTTATAATTTGTGAAAACAATTTTCCAGAAGTTATAATCCAGACCTTAGTATTTTTATTATGAATTACAAACACACTTAAGATCATAAATGCATGCATGGGTTTACTTCTATGTTCTCTATTCTGTTTCACTGGTCTATATATCTGTTTGTACACCAGTCCCATACTGCTTTGATCACTGGAGCACTATGACAAGCATGTCAGGAACCTACAATGTAGAAAGGATAATGTCTTCAAAAAATGTTGGGGAAACTGGATATATATTCACAAGCAGAGGAATGAAATTAGACTCTTATTCACACCATATATAAAATTCAACTCTTATTCACACCTTATATAAAACTCAACTCAGAATGGATAAAAGACTTAAAATACAGGATCTTACATCATAAAAATCCTAGGAAACATAAGGAGAAAGCTTTTTAGTCTTGGTCTTGATAATGATTCTTTTGGATATGACACCACAAGCACAAGCAACAAAAGCAAAAATACCAGTGGGAATGCATCAAAACAAAAAGCTTTTGGAGGAGCAAAGGAAACAATCAACAGAATAAAAAGGCAACATTTGGGATCAGAGAAAATAGTTGCAAACTGTAGATCTGACAAGGAGATAATACCCAAAATACATTATATACACACATACAACTCAGTAGAAAAATTAAAATAATACAAATAAAAAATGAGGTGTAGAACCAAATACACATTCTCCAAAATGACATACATATGGTCAATAGGTATATGAAAAGAAGCTCAAACCTTTCACTATAAATTAATAAAAATTATATAATAAACATATGTGTTATATAATATATAATAAAATTATATAGATAACAAAAAATTATAAAGAAAGCTGGGGAGGGAAACTGGGAGGGAAGAAGGCAGTAGGAGGTATCATATTCTTAGAATTATATTTATGAATTACATGGAATCTGTGTATTAATATCACATTAATATGAGAATTGTACTACAGTAATTATCTTGTATTTGCTCACCCTGAGAATCTAATATATTAATAAATCCCTTTAAATTTTTGAAATTATTTTAAAAATCATTAATCATCCAGTAAATGTAAACCCAAACCTTAATAAGATAACTCCTCACATCTGTTAGAATGGGTACTTTCAAAAAGGTAAAAACAAGTATTGGCAAGCTTGTGGTGGAAAGGAAATTCTGAAAAAGCAAGTATTGGTGGGAATGTAAAATGGTATAGCCATTATAGAAAACAGTACGGAGGTGTCTCAAAAAGTTAAGCTACCTTATGATCCATTCTGGGTGGGATCCAAAGAAAATGAAACCAGTATCTTGAAACCAGTCTCTGCACATGCCCCTGTGTTCTCTGCCACATTATTCAGAATAGGCAAGATATGGAGACAACGTAAGTGTCCCTTGTCAGATGAATGGACAAGGAAAATGGATACACAATGAATTATTTTTCAGTCTCAAAAAATGTCCTGCCATTTGGGACAATTACGGGTGAACCTGGAGGACACTGTGCTGAGTGAAATTAGCCAGAAAGAAAAAAGACCAATACTTACTTCAGTTACGTGTAGAATCTAAAAATGTCAAACTCATAAAAACAGAGAGTAAAATAATATTTTCTAGGAGCTAGCAGGTAGAGGAAATGGGGAGATATTAATCAAAAGATTGGTTATGGGGAAAGAACAAATTCTGGCAGTCAATTGTACAGCATGGAGACTACGGTTAACAATACTGTACTGTACACTTGAAATTTCCCCAGAGAGTTGATCTTGAGTGTTCACACATTCAAAAAAGTTGTCATTGTGTGAGGTGATGGATATATCATTCAGCTTTATTTTGGCAATCTTTTCACAATATATACATAGAGAAAAAATCAGGTACACTGTAAATATGATTTTTATTCATCAAATATATCTCAATAAAGCTTGGAAAAACACATTTAAAGAAAAAAATCTATGAAGTATCTACTCCATATAATCTTTATTACAGGACTGCAATCATTACTCATTATATCTCAAGGCTAAGAACAGAGCCTATCAAATAGCAGAAACTCTATAAATATCGATTGAATGTGTAAAATACTCAGTAGAGAATAGAACATGTTAGATCTGAAGTCTCAACATGTATTAGCCTTTGTAAACTGGACAAATTTACATAAAAGTCTAGTACAGTTTCAAGAGCTTTATAATTAGCTACTCACTTTTGTTCTTTTGGGAAGGAGACTCGGCAGGAGGTGAAATGCGTGTTTCCTGCGTTGTATCTTCCTGTACATGCTCTTCAAGGATTGGTGATCTTCCAACGCCTTCTAAATATTCTGTGTATATACAGTTTGGAGATTACATACTTAAATTTGTTTATTTTAAAATCAGTAACCAAGCTTTACTTGTGGTGATCCAATCTTTATTTTCTTATATCCTCAAAAGAATTTCCAAAAAACTAAAAATCCGAAAGAACTTCGTGATGAGCTATTAACTTAAAGATTTTTAATTAAATTAGATACTTCGGGAGAAACACGTGAGCCCCTTTCTTCTGAAAACTGAACTTATTCCATTCCTAAAGATACACAATAGCTTCCGCAAATATTTTGTATCTGAAGATGTAAAGCTCTCTGAAAGACAGCCCGAATAGATCTGACCACTGAAACACAGGTGTTAAATTCAGATGGATACAACAACCAGTCAGGTAACATAAATGATTTATGTTATAGTTGTTTTGTATCATTGCAAGGTAAGTTAATTTGCATACTAAACTTTATTTCCATAAAAAGTCCATCCCCATTATTCTTGAAGCAATGTCCTATACTCAGACTTTCATTTTCCCATTTCTGATGAAGATATATAATAGCAACAGCAGCTAAAGCCTATTTTTTTGCTATGAAACCAATATTGTCCTAAGTATCTGATATAAATTAGTTTACCTAATTCTTACAAAACTACAATACATGCACTAGCACTACCTAGTTTTAAAGATGATAGTCAGTGGAGGAGAAGTACTAACTTGTCAGCATTCATACAGCTGATAAGTGGTGGAGCCAGAGAGAAATGGGACAAGAAAACATCTCACCTTTCCCTTAATCATAAGGAAAACAGCATCTGAGTTCAGGGATAAATGTCAAACAATATGCAGCCTCAATTTACAAGAATAGAAAATGTGCACAGCATGTTTAACCAGAGAGCAGCTGCTCCAAGTAAAGTTCAGCAATGAATCACAATAAAAGCCTGCATTTTTATAGATGCCAAAACTCGGAAGTTTAAGCAGAGATTCTAGATTTTTAACTGCTGACAATTTATGCAATTTTCATGAAAACAAAGTGTGGGCCAAAAATACGTGATCTAAACAAAACATGTCTGCTATCTGCAAAAAGCATCAGCCCACAAGTGGCTAGTGTGAACCCTCCATATAAAGCTTTAAATCAACACACCCCTTTCCATAGGGATCTCTTTATTGTACTTTATTCATAAGGAATTAAAAAAAAATCCAATTAAGAATTGTGTACTCTCATGGCAACCAACTGTGTCTTCATACCACTCAACTACTTTCTACCAAAAGGCAATTCCACTGGAAATATTCTACTTGGAAAAGAAAGCACTATACAGGATTTTATCCTTAAAATTCTTGAGCCATGCAGTAATTATCATTTTTGAATAGAAATTTTATAAAATAGTAATTTTATCTACTAAACAAATTCTATTTCCAAAACAAATATTTTGTTACATTTTAAATGTATCAATGATTTGAAATACAGTAATAGGAACAGTATGTTCACATTCCTGAAATCTGCGAATAATTAAGAAAGTTCAAAGATGTCCCCTCTACCCTATCACAAACTGACATATCTAATGAATCTTGACTAATGAAGGGAGTAGAGTAGCTACTCCCACCCATATAATATTTTCACCACCCATATGATATTTTCATCTGCACTGGACCAATGTGGGATGTTAAAGAATGTCTATAATTATAGCATGCTCTTTCTTAAGTGGGTGACATTTATTTCCTTCTCCCAAAATACATACAACCTTTAGATTTCTTTTTTTAGTTCAATTAGTGACAAAAATCCAATATAAAACATAATGTGCCTAGAAGAAGGAAGATTGATAAAAATGGTATGTGCCATGAATACTTTTCAGTTTTCATTCAACTTGATTTTCAATGGAATTAATATGAAAACCCATGCTTAGATTCTTCTCTGATTTCCTTTTTAGATACATTTGACTTAGAATGTTTTACTGACGAGACAATTTTAGGGGCTTTAACTTCCCTGAAAGGTTTTGAGAACAGAGAGCAAAATGGCCATCAACTACTCCCTCCCTTATCCTATGGGCCTTTGTTAACTTCTGTATCTCCACATTCCCTGACTTAGTTTTAATGCATTCCTCTCTGTGGAGAATAATGCTGTTCAGTTTCCCATCTGATAGCTAATGAAACCTATCCAGCCCCCCTCCTCTGCTATACCTGCAGGCAATCTGAGACAGTTGTTGGGGATGATCACTGCTGGGCAGTGCAGGAGTCAACTTAAAAGAAGAGAAAAAAAAAATCTGGTTTTTAAGGTAACATGTTACATCCCCGGCCTAGTCATCTATACAAGTTTCAGATCGGGGAGCAGGTTTTCAATACGTCATTAACAGGCTGCTTGGGATGCCAGTGTCCTACATCAGGGTACCTGGGTTCACGTCCTAGCTCCACTTACTGTTCCAGTTTCTGCAAATGCACACCCTGGGAGGCAGCAGGTGACAGAGCAAGATGTCTATCTATCTGTCTCTTTCTCTCTCTCTCTCAAATAAACTTTTAAAATTAATTTTAAAATGTTTAATTTCTAGATCAAATGTGGAATTGTGTAATTCTGCAAATAAAAAAGTAGCATCTAGATGTTTGTAAAGCCTGCAATAGACCTAAAGACTGAATTAACTGTAAGTGTACTTAAGTGGGCTTTATAAAATAAAAAAATAAATAAAAAAAAAAGGCAAGACTGAACTACTGTGTACTAGGGAGGAAATATGTATTCTCTCAGCTAACTACAGGTTTTGTTGTTGTTAATCCAGCTTTTATGTACTACTTCTGCTACTTAGGATAGGAGTAAAAATTTGAGCAGATTGATCTCTGATAGCTTCATTTTCCCTCATGCACAAAAAAGAAAATAATATCTAACTTACATACTCCAGAAAATATCAGAAATCAGAAAAATAGAAAAATTCCTGCAAACTCTTATAGCATTTTTTTTTTTTTGACAGGCAGAGTTAGAGAGAGAGAGAGAGAGAGAGAGACAGAGAGAAAGGTTCTCCTTTTCACCCCCCAAATGGCCGCCACGGCCAGCGTGCTGCACCCATCTGAAGCCAGGAGCCAGGTGCTTCCTCCTGGTCTCCTATGCGGGTGCTGGGCCCAAGAACTTGGGCCATCCTCCACTGCCTTCCCAGGCCACAGCAGACAACTGGACTGGAACAGGAGCAACCAGGACAGAATCCAGCGCCCCAACTGGGACTAGAACCCAGGGTGCCAGCACCACGGGTGGAGGATTAGCCAAGTTAGCTGTGGCCCTGGCTTACAGCATTGTTCATATGTACTATAATAATTAATCATTACCAATTTATATAGCTCATTACCTTCAGACAAACTACTCCATATTTACTACATGGGTTTTAAAAAGATTTTTAAGCAACAAGTGAATGAATAAATATTTAACTTCCTTAATACTGAGTACTGAAAAATGGAAATAAAACATTAAGAAGTATTATGGGCCGGCGCCGTGGCTCACTAGACTAATCCTCCGCCTTGTGGCGCCGGCACACCGGGTTCTAGTCCCGGTCGGGGCACCGGATTCTGTCCCGGTTGCCCCTCTTCCAGGCCAGCTCTCTGCGGTGGCCAGGGAGTGCAGTGGAAGATGGCCCAAGTCCTTGGGCCCTGCACCCGCATGGGAGACCAGGAGAAGCACCTGGCTCCTGCCATCCAATCAGCGCGGTGCGCCGGCTGCTGCGCGCAGGCCGCGGCGGCTATTGGAGGGTGAACCAGCGGCAAAGGAAGACCTTTCTCTCTGTCTCTCTCTCTCACTGTCCACTCTGCCTGTCAAAAAAAAATTTAAAAAAAAGTATTATTAAAGATCTACCATAAAAATATACACATAATAAAATCAATCAAATGTAAAATTTAATTCAGCACCCCCTCCACCAAAAAAAAAAAAAAAACAACTATGACAGTTTTAATTTAGTCTTGACTTTAGGGCACACATGTCCATCATTCAATACAATTTACCTTGTAAGAGTGTTGCAATCTGAAGAGACTTCTGAGATGGATGTTCCTTCAGAATGTCTAAGACTGTTCTACCTAAGCTATCCTTTATGTTGGCATCAATTCCTGAAAAAAGAAAAACCATATGTATACCAGTGATGTTTCCTCAGAAGATACTGTCATATATTACTGCTCTCATCTCAAACATATATAGACCAGGCACTGAATGTGGCCTTAAAATTTGAAGTTACACACACACACACACACACACACACACAGATTTCAGATGGAAGGTGAGAACCTACTGCTACCAAAGATTAAGAACATTTATGGTTATCAGACCCAATCATTAAAATTGCTTTTCATGACCACTATAGTTAACTAAATATTACACTATTAAACTGAAAAATATTATTGACTTAGTGTGAATTTTTTAAAGGCTTATTTAGTTATATAAAAGTTGGAGTTAGAGAGAGCCGGGGGAGAGGGGCTCCATCTGCTGGTTTACTCTCCAGATGGCCACAACAGCCGGGACTGGGCCAGGCTGAAGCCAAGAGCTTCATCTGGGTCTCCCACAATGGTGACAGGGGCAGAAACACTTGGGCCATATTCTGCTGGTTTTCCCAGGACATTAGCAGGGAGCCGCATCAGAAGTGGGGCAGCTGGGACCTGAACCGGAGCCCATATAGGATGCTGGCATCACAAGTGGTGGCTTTACCCACTGTGACACAATGCTGGCCCCTAGCATGTGAATTTCTAAAGTATAATGGTTATGTGATTTAGATATCCAGAATACTATGGTAAAAATATTTAAAAGATAATGATTGCAAACCATGGCAGTAATGTTGCAGACTTAGAATATTTCAATATTCAAAAAAACTGAAAAGCACAATTAGTTTCAACAACTGTCCAATTATTATTGTTCTAAATACTAAGTCAAATATTCTCCGATATTTATTTTTGCAAGAGTATATTCAATATTAGCCACACTCACCATCCACCTGGTGATTAAAGTCTCTAAAGTGTCCAACCAAAATACCTTTTTTATTATTTTAGCTCTGAAAATATTTATTGTACTAAGGAACTTACTAAAATGTGGCTAATACTTTCACTGCCTGAAAAAAGTTACGAACTTTCTAAACATCTAACTCAAAACAAAGCCAGTTTATAGAATCCAGTTCAAAATGTTAGTTAATCACAAGATTTGTAAATAATTTCTTATATTTGTGAAGGGATGTGTGGCCAGCACATACTTAATTGCTTGCAACAAATCACTTATTATATAGAATTGGATTGCCTGTCAAAGTTAAATATACATGACATTTTAACTTTGCACAATCACGACATGAGAGACTGTCAATAATTTTTGTTTTAGAGGAAAATAAACAGACCATAACCCATACAAAGAGTGAAATCAATTACTTATAATATACATTTTCATCCATGTCTTTCATCCTAAGAAAAACCTGACCCTAGTTCCAATTTTATTTCCTTTCAATAAGAATATACAAATGAAGGCAAATAAGCTGACTTCATTGTTTCTTCAAAGCATTTCCTCTAAAAGGTTCTCTTTAAAATAAATCATGGTAGCCAATAAACAATAGCAGAAATTTTTGTCTACCGTAGTTCACAATATAAAAACTTAAGCAATCTAGGGAAAATATTATGTTCTTTAATAAACCAAGCAATTGTCAAAACTTCTCAGGAATCACTTCCTTCCTCCTCTTTGTAGAAGGCAGAGATCTCCTTTTCTTTTTGGTAGTTTCTCTAGTATGTTTAAATGCTATTTAAATATAAAAAATTAGTCATTTTCAAGAACTTTTTATAAGAACATCTACTGAATAAAGTAAAGTACACATTTATATCAATTTTATCTAAACATTGAATTTCAATTCTAATGGCATGAATACATGTCTGCAATTTGGAGACAAGATGAGAAGGGTGATTTGTGAAGAAAACTGTGTCATTTTCTTTTGTCTATTTCTGGTATAGAAACAATATTTGGCAGGATAAACTTTATGAATAATCATGACAGTTACCTGTTTCTAACAAAACTCGTACAACATCCACTTTTCCAAACAATGCTGCTTCATGGAGTGCACTCCCTTTTTCTGTCTAGAACAAAATAAAAATAAAGTACAGTTGCATTTATAATGTTGACAGGTTAAGAAACTGTCATTTTATGCACTCATACATATTTTCTATCATTACAGCACTCCCTAAAAGAATGGTAGTATGAAGTAAAGAGATTTTAGGAAAATATCCAAAGACTTGGGTCTATAAAACACCTCTGCCTCTGAGTAGCCATTTGACCCTGTTATGTAAAGTGAGCCACACACCTTCTCTTAGCCTGGGTTGTCCTCAAGTATAAAATAAGTGTAGTGATGCCTACCTGACAAGGCTTTCGTGAGTGTCCAACAAGTTCACTCAATCAGCATGCGTTTATTAAACACCAATTATATGTCAAGTAGTTGAGGGATGTTCTGAGGTATGGAAATATCACCCTGGTCCTCGTATATTCACATTCTAATTGAGGAGACAGATGAATAAATAAATATTTATGATAAATGAAATCTACGCTATTTAATGTGGTTTACAAAACCCAAATGATCTTCTCCCTGCTTTCCTCTTCAACCCCCTCTCCTGCCCGCCACAATTTTTTCTCTCTGGCCTCACATCCTATTCTCTGGGAATACTGAATTATTTCATATTAATGCCTTTCTCTTCTTCTCTAGGGATCTCAAAGGCTGGTCCATCTGCCTGGCAGCATCTAACCCCTCGCTCTCTTGACTTCACAATCACCTATTCTACAAGTCCACAATCTTCAGAATGAATCGCAATCACCTGGACAGCATGTGGGGAAAAGAAAAAAAAAAAAACACATTTCTGGGCCTATCCTCAAAGCTTCTGACGCAGTAGTCTAAGATGAGGTCCAATAATTTCCATTTATAACAAGTTCCTACATGATGCTAAGGGTTTAAAGAGTAATTCAAGAACTACTGACCTATAGTCTACATCAAATCTGAGCTTAATATAATTTCATTAAGTAGGACATCTGTGGTCCCTGCAATCTAGCTTTTCTTATGTGTTCCATATCAATCTATATTTTCATCACCAACACACTCACAATACCTCATTACGTTTTCAGGCAATTGTTTATTTCCCCTCATAAACTAAGTTAAGTGGAAATGGAGACTCGATCCACTTTTTCACCATTTTAGCTCCAATATCTAGCAAAGTACTTTGAAAATGTGGATGCTTAGAAATATTTTGAAGGTAAAATGTAGAGACAGGAGGAAAACAGGATGGAAAAGAAGGAATACTTGTAAATAGTGTAAGTATCGGGATGCAGTGCAGGCAAGATCGGTTCTGCCTTGAGGAAGATTTCAAAGTGGACTCTTTCTGAGCTAAATGATTTTTGTTTTCATTATTTTCCTAACAACCTAACAAATAACAAATAGGACTTGAGAATGTGTGTATGTGTGTGTGTGTGTTTGTGTGTGTAAAAAATATTTTTTTGTGTAACTAACCTATGATAGTTTATGAGTGCATTGTTAGGAGGTCTGAGGTATACTGAATATCAATGTGGTCTGAAAGAATCTTCAAGACGACTTGTCAGACACAGAAATACAAACGTCAGATGTTCTCTGTGAAAGGTTAAAAAGTGTCAAATCCAAATGTAGAATATTAATTCCTAGAAACTGGGAAGGAATGGTGGAGAGGAGTAGAGAGAGGGCAATTGGATAGTAAGTACCAGTCAGATGGAAACAATAAGTTCTGGTGCTGTAAGTTCACAATAGCCTGTAATTTATTTTATGAGTGGCTGGAAGGGAGAGCTCAAAGGCTCCACATATGGGGCACTGATGGGGACTACTCTGATTTGATCAGTATACATTTTATATTTGTAAACGTACTGGAGTGTCTCACTTGTATCCCACAGATATGGGCCATTATTACACATTAACCTAAATTTTAAGTTTAAGGAAATGAAAAAATAGTAAAAATAAAAATATGAATGAAATACATAAGAAATATGATGTGACTGGCATTCTATGCATAGATGCTAATAAAAATGGAAATAAAAATAATTTCTAATATATAGCAATGAGTTGAAGAAAAGGAAAATATGGAAACTTACTCAGTTCTTTAAAAAATACTTCAATAAGAACAGGAATACTGTTCACTCCTTTAATAATATCCCTTGAAATAACTGAATTCATCTCATTCTGTAGTTTTTAACCAATTTTCTTATTACTATTTTGATTCCCTTCTACTTTTCACAAAATTTTAGGTTTGTCATTAGAAAAACCCTTTTTGGAGTAGTATACCTAAAATGCTGACAATAAACAAAATATTATTTTAAATACAGGCTTTAAGGGAAAAAGTAAAGTGATTCCTCAGAACCTGGGTGAGGCTTGGGGCTAGGGAGGGGGATGAGAACAAGTTTGAAACCAAAGGGTTAGAACTGAACAGATATTTGTTCTAGGGACTCTGCCAACCTATGGGAGACCAGATCTTGTCTGTACCCAGTCGCTAAGGCTGACACTGGGAGGGGATCAAGAGACAAAGTCTGAGGTCCAAGCAAGGTGGAGGCTACATCAATGATACCCAAAAAACTCTAAAACCTCTTAAGAAAATCATCTTTGATTAAAAAAAATTGAAGCAATAATATATTTCATAAAAGGAGAAAGTAGGAATGTGTACCTAGGCCTTAATTCTGAGTAGAACAAAAAAAATAAATAAATAAACCTCAGAGTGGTCATCTGAAGTAGCAGTTAAGGCACCACTTGGGATGATCACATCCCATATTGAGTGCCTGGTTTGACTCTCCCTTCTGATTGCAGTTTCCTGCTAACGTGCACCCAGGAAGGCAACAGGTGATGGCTGGAGTACTTGGGTCTAAATGCCACTCATATGGGAGATCCAGATTGAGTTCCTGACTCCTTCCTTCAGCCTGGTCTAGCCTCAGCTATTTTGAGCATTTGGGGAGTGAGCCATCACACAGAAGGTCCCTCTCTCTCTCTAATTAAAAAAAAAGGAAATAAATAAACAAATCTCCCTTAAGAATTCCTAAACATAACTTCTACACTTACCTCAAAATCTGGGACAAAGATTATACAATTTAAGTTACCTCCTATCCTGAGCCAAATGGTAGAATAAAGTGATTCTGAATTTGTAGCACCAGAGACAGACATAAATGTTTATAAGAAGATATAAAACTTCTTTTAAAAATACTTCAAAAAGATTTTTTTATTTATTTGAAAGAGTGAGAGGGATATATATACATACATATATACATACACACACACACACATATATATATATACACATACACACACACACATAAAGAGAGAGAGAGAGAGAATGAGAGAGGAGGTGACCTTCCATCTGCTGGTTCACTCCTCAAATGTGCGCAACAGCCAGATCTGGGCCTGGCTGAAGCCAGGAGCCAGGAACTCCATCCAAGTTCCATGTGGGTGGCAGGGACCTAAGTACTTGAGCCACGCTTCACTACCTTCCCAGGTGCATTAGCAGGGAGCTGAACTGGAGGAAGGGCAGCCGGGAATGGGACTAGCACTCAAACATGGAATGCCAGAATTGCTGGCAGTAATTTAACCCACTACACCAGTAAGCTAGCCCCTGAAAAAAAAAAGACACTTTAAATTCAGTCCTTTATTAGCAATAAATAGAAGTTTTTTAAAAATGTAAAACCCACAAAACCTTCACATATTGGAATGATCAGCTACAGAATATAAAATATATAAATATAAAGTCAGAAAGACAAAAGTACTAGAAGATATAAAACAAAAGAACAAGACTATCAAAATTGACCAGATAAGAAAATGAACCAAATAATGCTTTTAGAAATTGAAAATACAACATTTAAAGTAAGTGGGTCTAGGCCGGCGCCGCAGCTAACTATGCTAATCCTCTGCCTGCGGCACCGGCATCCTGGGTTCTAGTCCCGGTCGGGGTGCCGATTCTGTCCTGGTTGCTCCTCTTCCAGTCCAGCTCTCTGCTGTGGCCCGGGAGGGCAGTGGAGGATGGCTCAAGTGCTTGGGCCCTGCACCCACATGGGAGACCAAGAGAAAGCACCTGGCTCCTGGCTTCGGATCGGTGCAGTGATGGCCATAACAGCCATCTGGGTGGTGAACCAACAGAGGGAAGACCTTTCTGTCTCTCTCTCTCACTGTCTAACTCTGTCAAAAAAAAAAAAAAAAAGTAAATGTGTCTAATAAGATACAACTAAAGAAAAAGGTATTGAATTGTAAGCACATAATGTAGTACAAAGAAACAAGAGACGCAAAATGTGAGAAACAGATAGAAGATTCAACCTATCTTACCAAAGTTCTAGAGGAGATGATAGAGAAGTAATATTCAAAAGTTAGGAACTTTCCAGAACTGATAAATCACTAAGTCTAGGAATATTAGGCAAGATAAAAAAATCTTCTGGACATATCACATTGAAACTAAAAAACACCTAATATACTAAAAATATCTCATGTGAAAAGTCTAAAAATAAATAATTCAATCAGAGGATTCTTTAAAAGAATGGCAAAAGAATGTATAATACCTTTGTGTGTCAAAGGGTAATAACTGTCAGTCTAGCATTTTCTGTCCACCCTAAATTATCTTCTAAGAATGAGAGTGAAATAAGAAACTTTTAAACAGATTAGAAATAAATGGCTACTACAGACCCTTCCTAAAAGAACTTACTTGTTATTTAATTCAGAGAAAAAATCTCAGATGCAAGAACTAATAAGAGGTTAACATACAATAAATAAGACTTTAAAAGTATCTTGTTATCCTATAAAAGTGTATGACAAGTATTATCATTAATATTGCTGGTAAGAAAGCAATTAGAAAATTATTTTTAACACATCTGTGATGCTAATATTTTAAAATTATACACATATATATCCTTTATGATATTCTAAGATAAAAATGTTAGGTTAAATAAAAAGTGTTTTTTATCTATTCAAAAGGCAAGCCAAGACTGGAACAGGCTAAAGCCAGAAGCTAGACAGGCAGCTGAGGTAAGACTCGATCCCAGGTACTACTATATGGAATGCAGTTGTCCCAAAGGGCAGCTCACCCACTACACAACAATGCCT